CCCGGTAAAGCGCCGAGTTTCTAGTTTCCGAAACGGTATCGCTTTCCTTCCGAACGTTTCGCGAACCTCCTAAAAAACCGGAAAAACCCGCGTCGACGTCATACGACAATTTCCGAACCACTACCAATTATACCAATTACTACCAAATCGAACAAAAGATCAACGCTTAATATATCGACTAGCGCAGTTTTTAGCATGCCAACGCTATGCTAAATATTGTCCGTTGATGTCTTTATTTAAAACCACCCGTAGCGCAGTTGCTGGTATGCTAATGCAATGCTAGCGATATATACTTATCCCTATCTCTAATCGTTTTTTATCCTTTGGCATCTTTGATCTGTTATCTCGTATCTGGTATCTGGTGTCTGGTGTCTGGTATCTGGCCTCTGGTATCTGGTATCTGGTGTCTGGTATCTGGTTATCAGTTTTCATTTTTCATTTTAATTATTCTATTTATTTTAATTTTTAGATTTTCGATTTTTCGATTTTTCGATTTTTCGATTTTTCGATTTTCGATTTTCGATTTTTCGATTTTTCGATTTTTCGATTTTTCGATTTTTCGATTTTTTGACGTTTTGACTTTTTGACTTTTTGACTTTTTGACTTTTTGACTTTTTGATTTTTTGATTTTTTATTTTTGATTTTTGATTTTTTGATTTTTGATTTTTTGATTTTTGATTTTTTTTGATTTTTTGATTTTTTGATTTTTTGATTTTTTGATTTTTCGATTTTTTGATTTTTTGATTTTTTGATTTTTGATTTTTTGATTTTTTGATTTTTATTTTTTGATTTTTCGATTTTTCGATTTTGATTTTTTGATTTTTGATTTTTTGATTTTTGATTTTGATTTTTGATTTTTTGATTTTTTGATTTTTGATTTTTTGATTTTTGATTTTTTGATTTTTTGATTTTGATTTTTTTGATTTTTTGATTTTTTGATTTTTTGATTTTTTGATTTTTTGATTTTTGATTTTTGATTTTTGATTTTGATTTTTTGATTTTTTGATTTTTTGATTTTTGATTTTTTGATTTTTTGATTTTTTGATTTTTTTGATTTTTTGATTTTTGATTTTTTGATTTTTTGATTTTTTTTTGATTTTTTGATTTTTTGATTTTTGATTTTTGATTTTTTGATTTTTTGATTTTTTGATTTTTTGATTTTTTGCTTTTTTGTTTTTTTTTTTTATTTTTTCCTTTTTAAATCTGCTGACGATTTCCGTTTTCCGTTTTTCGTTTTTTGTTCTTCGTTTTTCATATTTTATTTTTCATTTTTCATTCTTCATATTTCATTTTTCATTTTTCATTTTGCATTTTCATTATTCATTCATTTTCATTTTTCAACGTCGCATGTGTCACCATCAATAGCACACAATGGCCTTATAAAATCTTCGATATAGCATTAATGCCCTCTATAAAATTGTATGATAAACTCAGATTTATGTGAGGAGCCGGCAACGTCGCATGTGTCACCATAAATAACACACAATGGCATTATAAAATCTTCGATATAGCATTAACGCCCTCTATAAAATTGTATGACAAACTCCGATTTATGTGAGGATCCGGCAACGTCGCATGTCTAGCTACCGCACTTACAAAAAATGGCGCTTGACACTTGACATATCTCAACCGTGTTCGCCTAAGGATAGCACCTTCTATCTTCAGTGTAAATGTTTTATGATTTGACAGGAATGAAAATTATTCTTACCTTATTTAAATCTGCTGACGATTAATAAGGATACCTCACGATCTTCTTAAAAGATGAAATACGTTATCACGATAGATATACACTGAGGCACTTCGTCTGAACCGAAAAATTGTAAACACTCGGCACCGGGTGTCACTAGACAATACTATACACTGTACACTGCTATAAGTACAAAGTCTTGCTATGTTGTGGATTTCTGCTCTCCTCAGGAATTGATCTTTGGCATTAATAACGTCTTTCAATGATATTTATCGTATTTAAGCTGATGAACTGCTAAACGTGAAAGAATAATTGCACAATCTGTCAGTAACAGTTTGGTAGAAGATATGATCATCAATGTTATTTTGCAGCGCTTTGCATGTTCCTTCATCTGCTTGATAATATTTGCCAATCGAAGGGATAGATGACAAGTTTGTTTACTTATTTTCCATTTATACATACTACTCAGGTGAGATACTACTACTACAAGGTTTTTACAATATTTATGAGTTTGTTGGTGGTAAAGTTCTTCGTTTGGGAAAAATTCAACAGAAGCAGATGAACAATGCTCGCTTTATGATCTGGAGAAAAATGTGCTATCGCTTTAAAATAAAATTTCCTCTATTTTTTTTAATGTTGTATGATTATGATCAATCAATTAGAAACATGACATATAATAATAACATCTCAAAAATTAGACCAGAAGCTTGAAATTATTAAGTACTATAGTTGTTGGACAGTAAGTAATAGTATCGCTTGAAAATCAAATTTTGTAATCTGTTTCCTCTGATTCAATAATGAATTTTTCTGTAATCTATGATTAAGATCAGTCTTAGAAACAGGACAGATGTGAGTATCCTTGAAATTAGACATATAATAATAACATCTTTAAAAACAGAATAGAAATTTGAAATCATCAAGTGCTATAGTTTTTTGACAAGTAATGGTGTCTGTTGTTTTGACAAGTCTTGGAAGTGACAAGTCCTTAAAGCAGCTACATTCTAAATCGAAGTACATACATTCTGCATTGAGATCAAAATAAACAACTGCAGTGGCTGTGAAAGTCTTAGTAATTTTGAAAACTTTGGTAGTAGATATGATTATCAATGCTATTTTTCAGCGCTTTGCATATTCCTTCATCTGCTTGATAATATGTGCCACTGTTAGCCAGCTAATAGGTCTACATATTTAGACAAATTGAACTGAGGGTCAAGACTGAACTCTTACTGAACTTCATAGAAGTGACTGACTACTTACGTTTGCAATAGAAACAATACTGTAAACACTTCACAACACTTTCACTATTTGTAGCTGCGATTGCTTGTTCTAAGCTTCTAATTAATCCTTATTAACGGGAGCCTCATTATTAAGATTTCGATAATGTTTACATTCATACATTGTAGGTTAGAAATGGAGGTGATGCAATCAGACATACGCTTTATATCAATCGGTTGGAAAAGCGGAGCTTTATGCCATATTGTAAAATTATAACATGAATAGGGGCTTACAATCATATTTTTATCGTATTTATAAACCGATGATGATTTCAATAAATGATGAACGTCAAAGAATAATTGCAGCCTTTGGCGGTAGACATCGCAATCTGTAAAATAAAAAACTACTAGATTCATCCGATTTTAATGGCTCTAGTCCGGTCCGTTTAGACAATGGAATATAGAAATTTTGAATCTTTTCGAAAATGTTGATTTTCACGCGCAAAAAAGGACAATTCTATTTGGCGTGATCCAATATTGGATGAAGCGATAGTCATGAAGCCGAAAATGGCACGTTTTTGACGTTCCGCTCGCACTCGCTCGCTTTCGTAATACGATCGTATCTACAATACCCCGCCTAACAGGAATCCGGGGATCTGGAGGGGAAATTCAAAATTGAAACTTCAAACTAAAAATGTGTGCATATCTTTGAATTTTGTAATCTGCCGAGTTTAAAAAATGCGATCGGGTAACGTGTCGTATGTCGGTTTAATCAGGAGACTTTGGTCTTTCGTTTTGCGAAAAAAAATCGTAGCTACGTCGCTCCGTAACGCAGGTGCGTATCGACGAAGACAAAGTACGCCGAAAAACGGTTGTCATCGGTACTTTTGAGGCGCTCAAAGTTTACT